AACCGCCGCCGCCGCCTCTGCCTCGCCGCCGCTCCTCCGCCAGCCAGCCTCGTTTTCGTGTGTTGTTGCCGCCGCCAGGCCGGCCCAGCCCTGCGAAAAAGCGCCGAACCGCGTCAGCCGCGCCCGCGGGAAGAGCAGGCGGGGAGGGGGCGCCGGCTCCTTTGCGCTGGGCGGGGCGGCGGGGCGGGGGCGTCCCTCCGGCGCCGGAGGAGCCCGGGGGGTGCGCGCGCCCAGGCGTCTGCCGTTACCTTGAAATTCCCGTCGTGGGCGAGGTAGAGGGGCTGGAAGAAGGCTGCCGGCGTGGGGATGCTGCCCCCGCAGCTGCTCTTGGCCCTGTTGTGGAGAAAGGCCCCGGTTCGTCCTGCGGCTCGCTCCTCCCGCCTGAAGCTCACGAGGGGATGCCGACCCCGGCGTGCACCCTCTCTCCCGCCCCGGCTCCCCCCCACGGAGGCCTGCCAGCTTCGGCTCCTAAAAGAGACTGGGGGGGAGGGGCACGTGTGTCGGAAACGCGGGGTTTCGGCCAAGCCCCTCTCACACGAGCACAAAGGGGGGGGGCGGCTCCGCTGCGGCCCGGCTTGCCGCTTTGGTGGGCGGGGCTGGGAGCCCGCCTTTTTTCTGCTTCCCTCGTTCTCTTCTCTTTTCCTCATGGCTCTTCTGAGGTAGGATTGAGTCCTCTCTCCTCCTCAGGGTTTTTGCACTAACATTTCACAACCCCAACAACGTGGACACAAATGGCTTCCTGCCACTCATCCCAACCCAAAGAAGAGAACACCTGGTGCACCTGGAAGTCTTTTAATGGGACTGGGAGAACATGGGGAGGGCAGTTCTAGGCGAACCTGGACCTCACCCACTGAAGTCTCATACAGGAAAGCCCACCTGGGTCCACTTTTATCCAACTGAAGAGCTCCTGGGCCAGGAGCTCTTGCTGGCTACCTGACATGCGCTCAATAACTCCCTGGTGTAAAGCATTTTGTAGAGATGCCATTAGAGAAGAAGAAAGAAGCATACCTCCTGAAAAGTGTGAAGGCCAGTGCCAGGAACAGCAACAGTGTGCCAAGGCAGAGCAGGAAATAGATGGGAGCCGCCTTGGGAAAATGGGCATCGAGCTGCTGCCAGTCACCTGTGGTTGGAAACATGAGCCCATGAGCACAATGGAGGATTGCCCTGGATTTGCAAAGATGCTTCTGAAAGCCCCGACCCAGGACTCACTGTTTACTCCTGACATATGTGGGCACCAACAGAGGCACACCTGGTCCTAACTTGGTGGCTCATGTAGTATGAGGAGTAAGCTGAGAATTGGCCATCCTGAGGCTAGAGCTGGCAGAGACAGTCATGTTCAACAGCTGCTCGGCTTCAAGGCCACCCAGTGCTGCGAAGTCCGTTAATCCTGCTGAAGGCCAGAAAAATGCTATGGATTTGAACCTTCAGGAGCATCCTTCTCTGCAGTAAAGAACTGCATCTGGTGAGACTGGGTTTATGAGGCTTGTGTTGAGTCCTAGTCTAGTGCACAGCCTACTAGGTAGGCCCGGCCAGGAAACCAACTCTACAGGAAGACTCGAATTGCCTCTCCTGAGATTGACTGTAACAACAGTCTTGAAAATCTGATTGTGCTGGACTTTCCCAGTGAATCAGGAGGGCATCTGCCCAGGTCATTTCTGAGTAATATCTTGTATCCCAGGGCTTAAAAAGCATTTTAGCCCCTTTTGCCTGGGTAATGGTTCTTGCGTATTTCCATCAAGATCATCTTGTATGCTCTCTACATCTGTGACATGAGTTTAGCCGTATAAAGTGAAGAGGATATCCTGATCAGGGGAACCCAACATCCAGGGTGCATGGATGGGCTGCCAGTTAGAGGTGTGTGGCATTTAGATCCAAAGCAGGAAAGGTGCTGTGGATCTGGCCTAGGGGCATGCCTTGCTGGTGGCTGCTGAGGAGAAACCTGCTTTCCCCTGGTTTGGCCAAAGTGTGTGAGGGAAGGAGGTGGCAGAGTACCCCTGCTGGACCTAAAGCACCTTTCCTGCTTGGCTGCAAATACAGTGGATGTTTTTGCTTCCTGTTTTGGGTGCTGAAAATGTGCATCATATCAGCAAGAATGTAGTGGGAAGCAGAAAGTAAAAGAAAAAAAGAACCTGTTTCTATAAGCATCCTGGGTAGGTGACATTTGCACTGTCTGCTGTGGGGCACAATACTGAGCTTGGGACTCCCTTGAGGGTATTGAGGATGAAAAATGAAGAAACTCAGCAAACATGTGAGGGCTCAGCTCCCCTGCATTCCTGTCGTTAAAAACAAGTTTACCTGATGTACAAAAATGGTGTTCAAGGTGGCCAACGATACCAAAAGGAAAATTCAAATAGGCATAATCAGAATACAGGACAGATACAATGTTGTTATGCTAATGCAATTAAAAAGCATAAACAGTGGCCATTAGATAAGCTGGAATCAAAATGTTTTTGCCAGCCAGAAAAAAAGAACAAGAAGGGTCCTAAGGCAACTTGGTTCTCTCGGCAGGTGATCCCAAGGGCCTCTCTTGCGTTCCTACCAAGGAGGCCTCCAGTGGTTGTGGGGCACGCAAAGGGCCTTCTGGAAGAATGTCTAGCCCAAGCAGGCCTTTCGGACAGAAGGTGGTCTTGCAGATAACTTGGTCCCAAGTAATAGAGGACTCTTTTCTTGAGCCACTTGATCAAGTTATTAGAACCCAGCAACTGCATCCACACACTTTGTGAGCAACTGATGAGTTTTGGTGCCTTCGGGTCGTGTAAACCCAGCCCATTTGGTTCCATGTTTATCTGAACCCAAGTTAAGTAGGTCACTGAATGAAGCATGAAAATTTGGTCACTTGATTTACAGTATAGGCTATAAGTAACAACTTGAAGTGTGCCTGGAAAGAGGGGGTAGCCAGTGAAGCTTTTTGCAGTCCAGCCTCCCTCAATATATATTCAGCATGCAGACTGAATGCTGCTTTAGGAAAGGATACACTTTTCTCACTCTTTGTCAATCTGGAGCCTGTCTGTTTTGCCATATTCTGCCTAGGCTGTTCGGTGATTCCAATTTTCCTAAGCACGTTCCACAGTTTGACATGATTGACACAATCAAAGGCCTTTCCTTAGTCAATGAAGCACACATTGATTTCTCTTTTGGTATTTTTTGGCTTTCTCAATTATCCAGTGTGCATCAGCAATGGTGTGTCTTGTACTCTGGCCTTTTCTAAAACTAGCTTGAACATCTGGCATTTCCCTTTTCACACAGGACATTGGATGAACCCAAGCATTATTTTGCTGTGAAATTAAGGATATTATGCAATAGTCTGAACACTCTATTCTTTCATCGGTATTGGTATGTAAACTTATCTTTTCTAATCTGTTGGCCACCAGATAGTTCTCTAGATTTGCTGGCATAGTTGGCTTAGAATCTTTACTGACTCTTCTGTTGCTTGCCATATAGCTATAGATATCCCATCAGTTCCTGACTTGGTAATAACTGGAAAGCTGATCTAACCATCTTCTAGTACTAGAGGTTCTTGTAAGCAGAGAGTATCTTCTATGATATCTTGGATGTTGACATCTTCACTACACAGTATTCTCCTTCCATATTGGTTTGATTATCTCTGAATCACTATCTGTCCATTGGCGCCTTTTAGCATGCCAGTTTGAGTTTGGCATCTTCTTCTGAATTCAGATACCTTTTGGGCAACTTTCCTTGTTTTCCTGTTTCTATCTTTGATGCCGTTTACAAATTGAAATGCTGCTTCTTGTGTCTTCCAACAGCCGTCTGAAATCCTTGAGCGAATTCCTTTTTCTTTCTTGGCTCTGGCATCTCTTCTTCTTCTACCACTTTAGCTTGACTTGGAACTTGCACATCTTTGCTGTTATAACTGAGCTCCTCCACATGCTTGCAGCAATAATACAGGCAATTTGATTTCTGTATATTCCATCTGGCAGTGTCATTTTGGCTAATAGCAAGGAAGCATTGGAAGAAATGGATTACTAGCCCCAGGCCAGTCTAGTTTCAGGCCAGGATTTAGTACTGAGATAGCTTTGGTCATGTTTGTCGATGACCTGTCAACTGGTATCCTTCAGAGCCAGCATCTTGGGTTGGGGATTAGGGTCACCATTTTGTAGTGATTCTCTTTCTTTCCCCAGGGCTAGTCCTAGTCAGTATTGGATGTGGGGAAGAGATCACTCACTGGGCCCCTCCTCTGTGGGATGCTTTAGGGTTCTATTGTCTCTCCTCTCTTTTTCAACATCTATATGAAACCACTGGATGAAGTCATCCACCAGTTTGGGGTTCAGTATCATCAGTGTACTGATGAAAGTTCAAATTGTATCTTTCAATGCCAGGCAAGCCAAGTGAGTCTGTCAAGGTTCTGTCCCAATGGCTGGAGGCTGTATGGGTTTGGATGGGGAGGAACCATCTCTGGCTCAATCGTACCAAGACTGAGTAGCTGTGGGTGTTTGGGCTGCCCAAATCTGGGGTTATTCCATCCCTGACCTTGGATGGGGTTGTACTTCCCCACTGAAAGTGGTGTGCAATCTGGGGGTTTTCCTGGACTCACAGCTCCTGCTTGATGAGCAGCTGGCAGCTGGGCCAGGAAGGCCTTTGTACAGCTTCATCTGGTGCACCAATTGTGCCCTTTCCTAGAATCATGGGGCTCTTCAGACAGTCACTCACCCTTGGTAACTGCACAGCTTGCCTACTGCAACCTGCTCTACATGGTGCTGCCCTTGAAGGCCACCTGGAAGCTTCAGCTTGTCCAAAATGCAGCAGAACAGTCAGTGATGGGCATGCCTTGGTATGCCCATGTAACACCTTTGCGTTGCAAGTTGCACTGGTTGCCAGTTTGCTACCAGGTGCAATTCAAGGTGCTGGTCATTACCTATAAAGCTCTACATGGCATAGGGCCTGTTTACTTGAGGGTCCACCTGTCTCCCATTACTATTACCCAATTACTCCCATTGTATGTCTGCCTGTTCCTTCAGTTAAACAATGCCATCTACTGGGACCCCAGAAGTATGTCTTCTCTGAAGCAGAGGTATGTCTTCTCTGAAGCCTTCTGGAATGAGGTTGGATGGTCTCACTCTGCTGGTGTTTCAAAGGGCCTTGAAGACCTGGCTCTTTGCCCAGGCCTTTGGCGAAGGTAAGTGAAGCCCCTTTGGGTTGTGGGGGTTTGTTTCTTTCCATTCCCATCCAGTTTTTTATCATCCTTGCCATCCTTACTCTTCATTTTTGTCTATTGTATTTTTTTTCATTGTTTATAATGTCAGGCAGCGTATGTATTTATTAAATAAATGAATAAATCCAATCTCCCACCACAAGTAGCACATTTTGCTTGCTTGTGAATTCCAGATGGAACTGGGTCATATAATTGGTCAGCTTCCTTCTCTTCTGCATCAGCAGATGGAGCATAAACTTGGGTAATCATATTAAAGGATTGTCTTGAAGTCTAATTAAAATTACCCAGCCATTGATGCCATTGTACCCATTGTCTCTGCTCAATCCTTCCTGACTATGAATGCAGCTCCTCGTTTTTTGTGTCCTGAGTAATAAAACAGTCTGATCTTCTGACTGAAAGAGTCCAATTCCAGCCCATTTCAATTCGCTGATGCCTAAGAGGTCAGTGTGTAGTCTGTTCATTTCATTTGTCACGGTGTTGAGCTTTCCTGTGTTCACGCTTCTTATGTTCCATGTCCCCACTCTAATTCTCTTTG